GTGTGTGATGGAAGAGAGGTCGAAAGGGGGGGCCACATATGGGACCTGAGTTATTAACGGGGTAAAAACGGAAATTACGTCGAAATTGGAAAAATTAATTGCGCAGGCTTTGATAAGCGCCGATGCGCCTTACGTGGCGCTGACTGGCACGAGCCGTTGTGTATCCTTCTGCGTAAGTACTGTAGTAGTATTCTGCAACTAGGCTCCGCTCATGTCTCCAGCTAATCGGCTTCCTCATTTCACTGCATAACCATAACATACGCCAGCTGAAAATATTAAATAGCTAGATTGACAAAATTGCCCTCATAGGAAAATTGTCTTAACCTATAATGATGGTTTTAAAACAAGATTCCACTCTGTATGAACGAATCGTTGTCTCTTAAACAACAATCATTTCTTAAATACGATTATTATTATGTTTTTGTTGTTTTGTTGGAATGAGTACATAAATAAGTGGGATCGTCGAACGGTTGGTTTTCTGGTTTCCTAGTTACTGACTTTTGAATATATATGTAAATCTAGATAACTACAGTATCTGAAAAATAATGCTTAAATAATACTGATTCTCTTCACGATTGTTTTACAAATTGATAGTACACTAAACAGGTTTTTCATTGCATTCCAATTTATATAAATTTGTTCTGTCATGCTGACTGGAAATGATATTAATTCTTCAAACAAGTTCATCTTCATCATTACTTTCTTTTTCATTACGTAAATTGGTGGAGAATGAGAATGAATATAGAAATCAAAAGAAAAATATAACATTGTTTGAATACAACGCAATGCAGTTTGGTTTAAGAAAGACTCATGTCCAACAAAAGTCGGGGGAGGGTGGGGGGATGAAAAATCATTCGCCGCTTTCACACTTTCTGTCGACTGATTTTAGCTTCCTCTCCTTAAATGGTTGTCGCCACTACGCCACCGTGTCTCTATTGTTGTTGTCTCATTTATCTTTATCAGTACTCCAATTCATTTATGTTACTTTGCTCTGCCTTCATCTTACCCATTTTTTCTATCTTCTCATACTAGCCGACCAATTATAATCTCTTTTCTCTGACTACTGTGAGGATCTGACTTGGGTACCAACGACGAGTTTGTTTCAAAGTGAACGGTGTCAATGAACGTTCAAGACGACATATTTGTTTATGCATATTTTAATTGATTTCGGTTTCCTCTAATATTCAAATAGGTAATCAGTCTTGGCTCTCCACGGTTGTTTTTACTTTGTTTCTCTTTTTGCTAGGGTTTTTGTATCTGGGTTTTTAAAGATACATAGGCTTCATGAAAGTATAAATTACTATCTACCGGACGTATGTTTCCACTGTTTAGAATTCATTTTTTCATAACAAAATTTTAATTTTTTATGTGGGTATTTGTACATAATTGTTTGCTTTGTTGGTGCTTCTATCGGTTACATATCAAAATCCTTGAGTTGTTGATATTGTATTTAGTTGTACATTCAATCGGTGATAATTATTTGTTTTGTGATATAATAGTATTTATGTGTACATTCCATTGGCTAACTGAATACGTTTGGCAAAAATTAGCTGATAAGGTAGTTGAAAAATGTGAAATGACAAAAAAAACATGTTTTAAAAATTAATAAAATTTAACATTTCATAATACATTTAAAACAATTCACTAATAATATAATATGTTATTAATACAAACTAGATGTTGAAAAATCAAACAATAAAATATGTTAATTAATAGATTTCAATATAATTTGATATTATTTTATATATAATGTTAAAAAAACTGGATTTGTATAACAAAATATAAATTTTAGAAAATCTCTACACTAACTGATGATTTCAAATAACAATTACATATAATATTAATAAGCTAGCTTTTAAGACAATTTATAAGCTATCTTACGTCCGTTCAAAGATGATCTCAAAAAGTAAGCTAACTTATAAGTTAACTTATGTTTACCAAACAATATATTATTATAAACCAGTAAGGAAATGAACTATATTATACAAGATAAATAACTAAAACAACCGATTATTCCATGCTCAGATTCCAACACCTTGCCACCTCATATGTTTTTTTCCCGACATCTTAAAAAATTCTTCAATTTTAATAACAGATGGTCCCTAAAAATTTCATCAGTTGTCAATTACAAATGATCCCAAGATAAGTTTTTACTACCTGTAATTTAAAAATAAAAATGTATTTTTTGTACAATGCTTATAAAATACACAGAAAATTAAATAAATAAAAAAAATAAATTCTTAAAGTCACCATGAAAATAATAGAACATATATGTCTATAATATAGGAAAAGGTTTATCTGAGAAACGTTAAATATTTGAGAAGTAAAGAAGTGATCCTATGCATTCATCTTGTCAACATTAGCGGCTTTGACCATGAAACACCAGATAATTCTTTATATGAGTATGCAGAAGATAGATGGATAGTTTCGTAACTTTTACAAATAGGTGACAAATTGGTTCATATGTGAACTCATATGATACACATATGATCTATATGTTCATATGTGAATCCGTTAATTAGTTCACATGTGAACTGTTTAACTGATCCATATATGAACCCACCTGTTAATATATGAATCAGTTAATTAGTTAATATGTGAATCAGTTAATTAGTTCATATGTAAATTAGTTAATTATTTCATATGTAAATCACACAGGTTCATATATAAATCGGTTAAAATAATTCATATATGAATTATACGAGTTTACATATGAACATATATTTCATATATGAATCCGTATGCGGTCTATTTGTAAAAGTTACAAAACCACCCTCTCTATTTTTTGCATAACCGTAATTTTTGACCAGTCAGATCCATAATTATTGATTAGTCAAAGACGCAATTATTGACCAGTCAAATCCGTAATTATTGATGAGTCAAAAACGCAATTATTGACCAGTCAAATCTGATCTTAATCATATAATAGGCTAAGATCACTTATTTACTTCTCAAATATTTACCACTTCTCAAAATAATTATATATATATATATATATATATATATATATATATATATATATATATATATATAACACCACCTTCTCTCATCATGGTAGGTAAAATTTTCTAAACCCTATTCAATAACCTAGGATTTCATTCACTTATTTTGGACAACTTTGTTCTTCATTGCTAACCATTTCAATAAAGTATTAAATTTGTTTAAAATTTAATCAAATTACTCGTAACTTCATTTTAAACACTTGAACTTAATATAACAGGAATGACGGACACTATTTATTACATGTAGTTGCATGCTATATATTTAGATTATGGTTGTATGTGTTCAACTTTATATCCAATTCAAGTAATTACAAATCATATATCATTGTATATGTCTTGTCCATTATGTTATTCACTTGTCATATATATATATTCTAAGATTAAATTTGACATAAAAATTGATATTTGCCGTCTTAGGTCTAAAATTATATTTTTCAATAATCTCTTAATGACATTTTAAATAAATCAAATGCTATCTGATATGGGTTTTTTATAATACATATTTTGAAAAATCATGATATTTTTATATATAAAAAGTGCGGATAAATTCTAAGCTCTCCAGCCTCATTCTTGAGTCGCGAAGGATTTCTTCCATAGCTTTCCAAGAGGATGTTTCGCCATGTAGGAGTTGTTCGTTTACATCTTAATAGTTCAATTAAGAGGCAGTCTCTGAATTGTTAATAGATAAATCTTGTTTGACAAAAAAAGTCTGTCTCTTAATGATTCTAAAATCCTCTGAATGATTTTGTATCATGAGTCTCCTTTAACCATTAAGCGCCCTAATTTCATCATAAACAATAATATTTTATTTTGCACCATATTATGAGAGCCTCTTAATCATTCTGACCACTTAATCATTTTGCACCAAACCATTCAGCAACTATCAAACAGCCCATAACTCGAAATGGTTCACATAAAGCTCGTAGGTCCATTTCAAGGTCCTAGCTTCTAGTTTTCTCGAGTGATACTCCATCAAGCCATCGTAGGCGGTTTTTTACATGTTAACTACTCTTATTAAATACTTTATCCATCTTAATATGACAACGATATTCATATCAGGTTGTCCAAAAAAACACAAAATTTTTGTATGATTTTAATCGTAATTAGTTTTTCATTTGTTTTTTCTAATCAATAATTATGAATATTTAAGTATTACTTTCTAAAGGGAAATAGTAATGAAAATCGTTTTTGGATTTTGTGTGATGTCACGGAAAATGATCTATATTTTTTTAAATATTTATTTGTGAGAATATTGTAGAGCCGCATGGCATCGGGCGGGTCCTGGACGGCATTTTGCAATGTAAACGATTGTCCTTTTCACTCAAACGTCTTTTTGTCACATCTTACGTGTTCGTTTAGATTTTTTCTTTCTTTTCTGAAAAATAAAATAAAATTCATTTATTCGGGTTTAATTTTTAACATTTAAATATTAAAAAAAATGAAACTTTCTTCTAGAAATCATCGATGAGTCCACGGTTTAGGCATACCCCATGTTCTGTCGTCTTTTGTATGTTCTTACTTGTAAGCGGTATATTGATATTGTTACAAATATAATATGATAAAATAAGAGCGAATATTTTATTACTGTTTTTATTTATTTATCAAAAACTGATTATCCCAACCACAAGCAACCGTCACCACCACCATCATGAGCTCTATACATCTTCCAAACATACTCATAAGTATCTATGTCTAACCCAACCCGACTACTTCCCATGAAATGAACCCCCCTCCAAAGACAATTGTGAGGGGACGAGGGGGCATTAGTTGGCTCACTCATCGGTTAAGGCTAGCGGGAGGCACGAGATCGAACCAGGATATGTCTTGTATTTTAGCAAAGTCGTCCCACTTTTTTGCTAACTGAGCTACACTTTTCTCCACTTGGATCAATAAGTCTCCTCCTTTCATGC